CTTAGAATATACAAGAGATTTCTTCTCAACTAGAGTAAGGCCAAGAAGCTCGGAGCCTATTGGGGCTCTCCTACTTCACTTGGCTGTAACATGTTGGGGACTCATACAGGTGGGTGTGCTCTGGGTTTGAAGACATTCAGTAGTGAGGTCCAGAACTTTATTTCTCAAGCAGTCTAGACATCACCCAGAGGGCCTCAGACCCAGGGAGGTGGAGGAGTTGCTTCTGGAGTTTTGACTCTGTAAAAAATGGCAATTCATGACAGCCACAGCCACGCTCTTGGAATGAGGCTGGGATTCTGTCCTCACATAAATGCCCACAAGGGGACTGCTGGCTTGGACCCTGGGGCCCAGGGTCCATGCGTGATGAACAGCACCTACACTGTGTAATCCGTGCTCAGAGCCCTCTGGGGCTGGCATGAGCTCTCAGCAGAGGGAAGGCCATCATTTGAGTTTTAAACGTTTAGGGGTACATATATATGACAGGTATTAGGATCACTCATATTTGGGGAAAGAGGAGAAATGGAGGAACCCCTGACTCTTTTTACTAGTGCCCTCTGGCCTGGAATTCCAGAGTAAGCTGTTGACTTCCATTCTCTGTACAGCAGCACCATTTGAATGGTTCTTTTCCTCTCCCTTCCCTGTTCTGTTTTTTGTTCTGCTCCTCCCTCCCTTTTCTCTCTCCGTCCTTCATCCCCCACCACTTTCTTTGCATCCATCTTGCTTTTCCTGTTAAAGTTCCAGCTGTCCTTGTGCATGGTACCAAATCAGAAACAGACAAAACAGGTCAGATACTTGGGAAGACTTTAGTCTGCAACTTCTCATTGGACTGCTTGAGTAGAGATCTGGTTGTCAAATAGTAAGAACAGTTGTCCTACAGAGAGAGGTGGCCTTTTACCCCTAGTCAGGAAACAGGTTGGGTCTTTCAGGATGGAGAGTGTGTACGTTCTTCCACTCTGGGTGCCCAATGCCTGATTCCTAAGAGGAAGATGTGGTGCGCATGCTGTGAACCCTGCCTGTCTGACCAGGAAGCTTGTGTAAAATGAGCAGGAGAACCAGTACTACCAATTTCAGGGAGTGCTTTGCCCAGGAGAGGGGAGAAACACTTCCTTCCACATGGGAAGATCATTCCATTGGGAAAACCCCAATGGAAGCATCCTGAGCAGGTGCTATCCCAGTGATTGCCCAGGTGCAGAGGGAGAGTCTCGCCATTGGTAATGTTTCCCTTGTTACAAGGACCTGCTTTATGCTGTATTTAGTAGTGAGGAGGAAATGGCACAGGAAGTCTCAGAGAAATGTTTCATCATGAGCCTCATAGGTCGTGTGGGGTTTGTGATCTTCATTAACCACCGTTTGAGCCATGTTCTGGTTTGCCATTCTGCTAAAAAATCAGAGTTGAATCTCCCATAAAAATGAGGCCAATGCAAATGTATTTAACAGAAAATATTCATAGCATTCTCTCTCTTTTTTAAAGATTTATTTTATTTATTTGGAAGACAGAGTTACAGAGAGAGGTAGAGACGGAGAGAGAGGTCTTCCTTCCACTGGTTCACTCACCAGATGGCTGCAACGGCAAGAGCTGTGCCGATCCGAATCCAGGAACCAGGAGCTTCATCCAGGTCTCCCATATGGGTACAGGAGCCCAAGGACTTGGACCATCTTCTGCTGTTTTCCTAGGCCATTGCAGAGAGCTGGATTGGAAGAGGAGCAGCCGAGACTAGAACAGGCACACATATGGGATGCTGGCACTTCAGGCCGAGGCTTTAACCCGCTGCGCCACAGCACCGGCCCCAGCATTCTCAATAAAGACCATTAAAAAGGCAACATATTGTGCATAATGTGTAGCTTGAGATGTGCCTGGCCTTAGGATCTTGACCTATTTTATTCTCTGTCTATCCATAACCATCCCACGAGGTCAGTGTGGATTTGCCTGTCTTCCACACAGAGAGCTGGCATCATAAAAGGTGACATCAGCTGCCCACGAAGTTGAGTGATGGAAGTGTTTTGCTGCTGACCCTCCTGGTAGCTGATGGTTCAGTGCTTCTCTGACCTTCAGAGAATTTGCCCCATCCATTCTCTGCCATGTTGTCAGTCTGGCTTATAGATCAGCTGGGCCTTGACAGTGATGGAGAAAGGGCTAGACTAGCAAATAAAACAGAATGTCCTCTGTACACAGGAGTTTCTATTTAAAGGACACATCAATTTGGATCCAACAGGTCTAAATCAGGCTGCATTAGGCCGGAGATTTTATTTCCTTCATGCAAAAGTTTAAATCTGAGCAGGCATGTCTTGGTGACCTTGGAAACCATCTGGGATTTTACATGCATTGGGCTCTCTACTCTGAAGCTGTGAGGTAGCTGATGATTTAGACTCACGATGCCTGGGGAGGTGGCAGTAATCCTTTGTTTTGGGGGGACTACTGGAGCCATCTGGGGATGGTGCACAAGATACTCAAAGATTTTTTTCTTTGCTGATTAGATTGATTTTTCTTGTTATTTTCATGGCTTCCTTTATAAATTGCTATTTGATGCTTTCAGTGGTGCTTTATAGAGCACCTACCCTTGGCTACCTGATACTCCCCTTTGCCAGTTATTAAAGAGGGAGCTATGAGGATGAATCCACACAGTGCTTTGTCATATGGCCATGCCTGTGTTCAACTTGCTGTAACAAAATACCATACATTGGCTGCTTATTGACAGCAGAAGAGTCTGGAAGTTTGGGATCAAGACTCCAGCTCAGACCAGGTCTTGGTGAGAGCCTTCTCTGGGTTTAGAGACTGGCAACTCCTCACTGCACCATCACAGGGCATGAAGAGTGAAGGGCTCAGTCTCTGTCCTCTTATTTAATGGCTCCAATCCCATTCATGAGGAATCCACCCTCCTGTCCTGGTTTCCTTCCAAAGGCCTCATGTCCATTCACCATCACAGAGGGGATTCGATTTTAGCATGTTCCTTTTTGGGGAGACAATTAATTCAGTCCACAGCAAGGAAATACCAGATCTGCTTCTTTTCTGAGCCTTGGTCACTTCATCTGTAGTAAAACTTTCCCTAGGAATTAGCTGTGAGGATGTAGGAAGGTAACACATTTGAAGAGCCCTTTGACAGCTATAATGTGTCATGCAATTGGCCCTTTAAACGAATAAGTTATCATTGCCTTCTGTAACTATTAGTATCATTAGAGAATGCATAAATACATAATTGTGCAGTTCAGTGACTTGAGGAATTCACTTACTTCTCACGATAGCTTTGGTCAATGGATGCCAAAAGGTCTCTTCAGCTCATTGGATAGATGTTTGTTTTTGACATACAGGTTTGCCTTAACACAGTGTTTAGGAATTATGGTCTACTTAGGATACAAAACTACACAAATTCCTTAGGAAACTTGGTGCGCAGTACAGTAAGAATGCAAATTTGCTCAAACTCAAGACAGTGTTCTTCCGATCAGAAGCAATGTGCTATCTCCACTTTTCAAGTAAGAAGGATCCTGTGGTTACTAGGAAGTCCATACAGCAGACTCATAGAATGGCAATCACTTTAAGTAGCATTCTGACCTCAAAATCAGCCCTTAAGGCATTCTGGTCTGGCTGAAAAACCCAGGGGAGCATTTCAGGCATGGAAAGCCAAGACACTGTGACAAAAAATTTTCTACATAAAGGACCTCTTTGGGTGAGACCCCACTAGAAAGAAGAGGCCACCAAAGAAGGATGTACTTTCCTCTGAAGGAAGGAGAGAACTTCTACTTTGCTTTTTGGCCTTATTGAGTTAGTGGATCCAAAAAGCTTCCATAGCCTAGGCAGCTCATATCAAGAGCATTGGATGATCACTGACATCATACATAAGGGTGTTAATTTTTAAAAGTAAATAATAGGAGTCACTTTGCACTAACTTCCCATGCAGGACCATCGTCCTTATAGAGTTATATCATGAGACTTAATAGTAAAACTTCTTCTCAAGAGTCACTTACTTTTAGTGTATTAAATGGAGGATATTTTTGTGTCTCTTAAGTTATAATTATGTCTAAGAGCTACCAAAAGATGTATCATTCTTGGGTTCTTTTTTAAAGATAGTTAAGTTTCTAAAAGGAAAGAAGGGGGAGGAAGGAAGGGAAAAGACAAAGTCACCTTTGAGATGCAATATCTTTGAACAGCCTTTGGACTGTTGAGGAAAATTTTTTTTATAATTGTTGTTTTTTATTTCTTTTTCTTTTTCTTTCTCATACAATGCATTGAACTCTTTATCTAGAATAGAGTTAATCCTCTGTATATAAAATTAAATGAAAATAGATCTTAGTGAAAAATAGGACAGGGAACAGGAGAGGGAAGAAGAAGAGGAGGGCAGATACAGTGGGAAGAATTACTATGTTCATAATGTATTTAAGAAATGTATGCAAATAATTAAATAAATAAAATTAAGGAAGGGTTTTACTTAGCTTCCCATTTTCTCTTTAATGGCTCCAATCCCATTCATGAGGAATCCACCCTCCTGTCCTGGTCTCCTTCCAAAGGCCTCATGTCCATTCACCATCACAGAGGGGATTCGATTTTAGCATGTTCCTTTTTGGGGAGACAATTAATTCAGTCCACAGCAAGGAAATACCAGATCTGCTTCTTTTCTGAGCCTTGGTCACTTCATCTGTAGTAAAACTCTTCTCCTCGTTGTTTCCAGAAGAGGGAGATTACATAGGGTTCATGGAGGAGGGACAGTGAGGAGTGTAGCAGTCTCCAGATTCCATCTAAGGAGCACTGCCCACAGCTTGACACATGACCTCGTCAAGATCAGAAAGTTTGCAAGAGACTATAAACAAGGTTCTCCTGAGAGTCCAGCCTGACTCAATGAACAGAAATGCTCCTACGATGTGGTCTCATTCATCTGTGATTTTAGGCTTGGGAAATGATAATGCAGTTTAGGGTCATTAGTTTTCTGAGCACGGCAGACGGCTGGATGGGGCTGCAGGTGCAGGACTGTACTGAAGTTCACCGGCTCCTGTCTGTTTTTGTTGTGCAGAGAGCAGCAGCCTGCATTCAGCCTGTGTCCACGAGAACACGGTGCACAGCCGGGTCTTTCAGATCTTGTACAGGAATGAAGAAGTGCCCATAAATGATGCCATGATCTTCCGAGCTCACCTTCTCTTAGACGGTGAAAGGGTAAGTCACATATCCAGCACCAGCCACAAGTGGCCGTTCCCTTCCCTTGCTTGGTAAATGGGAAGATTTACTCTGAAATTTGTCAGGTAAGTATTCATGATTTCAGAACTTTCATGCACTTATTTGTGTTTTTATATTTTTGCTTCTTCTTTCGTTCATGTATTTGCTTGTTCCATGCAGCTTGAAATGCTAGCAGTCTCCACTGACTACCTTTGTGTCTTACTCTTCAGCTGTCCATTTGCTCATGTGTCAGTGAGCCTATCAGTAGATGCTTACTGAGTAATACTTTTTGCAGGACGCTGTGTTGAGCCTTTGGATAAAGGACAGAACTGAAGAACGAAGCAGGACTTTCACCCTGAAGAGGTTGATAGTTTAGCCAGAAAGCAGATGCGTAACCAGGCATCCTGATAGGTGATTGGTACTCGACTGGCTATGTGTAGAACTCTGGGGACCACCAGCCCAGAGCTCTTCAGAGGTCTCACAAAGCGTCAGTTTTCAGATACACGTGCTCTGAGTCCATCAGACAGGACAGAGGAAGGGCATTCTGGGAAGGGGACACAGGATAAGTAAAGGCTGAGAGAACTTGGGGACATCGTTCAATTTGCTAGAAACTTGAAATTTTCTCATTCTTTAAATCAACTTATTCCAAAGGACTGTGGGAAGTCCAAATCATTGGTTGTGCTCCCCCATCCCACCTTAAGTCCTGTTGCCATGTTCTAGCTGACTATTTCCTTCTAGAATGCCTTGAATGATGTTGAACCATGCTCCTGTTTCAGAAAAACCCAGCTAAAGTCCGACACGCACATTCCCCATGAGATGTGCATAATGACACCCATTGGGCATCTGCTTTTCTCCCCTTGAACTTTTTTCCACATCTTTTATGTTCCAGGCAGTGACCAGGTGCCCTTGTGTAGGCAAAAGTAAGTAAAGTGTTCTTTCTCACTCTATATTAAATTATTTTGTCCGAACATCAAAGATTTATTGAACTCCCACTAAGGACCTATGGTGTGCTGAAAGTAAAATAATGAACAAGAAAATATCCTGGTGTTTTGAAGCTTGTATTTTCATGTTAGATTGATAAATCCCAGTGTAACCAAATAAGTAAATTGTATATACAGAAATATAGTCTATTACTGAGTCTTCTTATTGCTGCATGCTCAGCTCACTGGTTTATGAGATATACTTGTGAGTGATGTGATGTAAGAGCAGGTGCTTGCATCCATATTCGAATCCTGATAGGAAAGCTACAGCTATACCCAAAGGAAAGAGACTTCAGGACAGACCCATTTGTGGGACTTGCTGTTGCTGCAAGACAGACACTCAGGTAATGAGATTGTCAAGGGCTCAATGCAGTCTTTCCCACAACCTTCACACACGATGGAGATTCCTCCCTGGAGGAGAAGTGGCAGGCTGGAGAGGCCTCCGTGAGAAGCCAGCCTTGAGCTGAGACCTTGATGCTGAGGTAGGTCCAGGCTTGGTGTCCTTGGATGATGATACAGCAAAGGCAAAACCCCTGGGTGGGAATGAGGTCAGTGTGTCTGAGGAACAGCATTGAGACCAAGGTGACTTGCACTGTGTGCGAGGGCAGTGCAGTGAGGAGTGACACTGGAGAGGTGCACTGGGCCAGGTTCACAGAGCACTGTGGGCATGGGAAGGCACAGCTGATTCTTGGATAATGGAAAGCCATTGATTTTTGCCATAAAGTTGGGGTGGCACAATTTTCACTTTAGAATGTTGTCATTCCCTCCCAGTCTGCATGCTTCTCAGGATTGGAGTCTCCTGTCTGTGTTTCATCCCTAGTACCTGCAGTGGAAATTAGCAGATAGTAAGTGCTCTTAGGAGTCTCTTTCTGGCTCCATATTTAGTGACTTCACATTGATAGCTTGAAATCAGTCATGATGGAAACCTTACATCACAGACATTGGTAAGACCACAAAGCAGTCTTTTATTTTTGCTTCAGAGAACTGGTTGTTGGCATGCAGCAGCACACCGCTGACCACGCCATCTACCAACAGTCTCAGTACTGGTGAGGAAAAATACTCCATGTGACTGTGTCTCCCATTCTGGTAGCCACTCCCTCTGCTAGACTGTCAGGCGAGGGTGGTAAGGAAGTACTCTCTTCATTAAACTCAAGACTCTGAACCCTCACGTCTTGCTTTGTCGATCATCCCTTTGATGTACCTGTGCTTGAGTCCTTATTTTGAGTATACCCTCCATTTCCTTCCTGGGATCCTAAGTCAATAGACTTAGTTTAGGAAAAGGTACCCTTGGATTGCCTTGAGTGGAAAGGAAATCCCTTAAGGCTGTTACACTCAGGGTCAACTTGTCCAAATTCCAGTAAGGGAACAGCACTCTTGCCTCATGGGCTGTTGTCCTTAGGAGTGTTGATCTCAAGTGACCTGGGTAGAGTAGTTGTGATTGGAGCCTGGGTTAGCACGTAGTTCAGGTATCTTGGCTAGTATCCCACTGGTCTTGCACCTGCCTCTAACAGTTTAAAGTCTTTCCCAACACTCAACTTTAGCTCATGGGAAATTGTAACAAACTTTAGGTTGAGCAAAGAGTTTGTTTCACAGGGCACACTATTTTCTTCTATAAGTCAGGTTGTTTCTATAAGTGAGTGATGTGTTCCTGTATTGGGGCAATCCATACAGCAGCAAACAATGCTACTGCTAGTCATTGTAGCCAAGTCAGTGACAATTAAAGATAACAAGCGTTGGCATTGTGGAGCATTGGGTTCAACACCAGCATCCCATTTTGGAGCACCACTTCGAAACCCCACTGATCTGCTTCTGATCCAACTCCCTGCTAATGTGCCTGAGAAAGCACCATAAGATGGCTCCAAGTTCCTGGTCTCTGGCTGCAGCCTGGCCCAGCCCAGGCTATTGTGACCATTTGGAACGTGAAGAAGTGGATGGAGGATCTCTTTCTCTGTCTCAGCCTCTCTCTCTATCATTCTGGCTTTCAAATCAATAAAATAAATCTCAAAGATAATCAGATGCCTGTAAAAACTGTATTTTGGAATGGATAACTTAAGTCTTTCCCAGTGAATATTGATCTGCTTATGACAACAAAAACACTGCTGATCACAGTGTGTTCATAAAGGCACACAGACTTTGTTGTGGGCGAGTGACATTGACAGGATGGCCACTCACCCACCAGGAACACTGTTCCACTTGCTGTAGGGCACTCAGAGAGGAGGAGAGTGGAGCCCCTGCCGTGGGGTCTCAGACAAGTGGAAGAGGACCATGTTCAGAACGAATCACGTGCTGGGATGTTTTCATAACAGGTGCACAGAGTGCGCCTGGAGGTAGTACAAGGTATTTGTGTACTCTGCATAATCCCACAGATGATTTGGGAAGTCTTACAAAATATACAGAACAGTAAAAGGGGAAAATAGTAGCCATGGGATGAGCCACAGTAGAGGACACAGACAGAAGGAAGCACGGGTAGCAGCTGCAGCTGGACGAGGTGCACAGCCAGCCTCTGGGCCACAGCTGATATCAGCCCACACATTCAGCCATCAAAGAGAACGGTTACCCTCATCCAGGTGTCTGCACTTGGAACCAGACAAAGCGAGGGTTCCATCCAAAAGGGCTTCCTGAGCAAGTTTGCACTTGTATAGGCCTAACCAGGATATGCATTTCCTAAAGCAAGATTCTTCAGTGCCCTCCCGTCATACTCTCCTGGCAGTACTGGTTCAAAATGAGGATTCTTGGGTCCACCCAGACCTCATGACTGAAGGATAGGGTTGCTTTCCATTTGGAGGGGAGTGAGTAGATTCAGAAGTTTGGTAAGGTCTGGGCTGGCTTTCCACAGAAGGCACCAAAGAGAGGATAGAAAGGACTGGGGAGAAGGCAGTAAAATAGAGGACAGATCTGGGGAGGAAGGCACCATCACCAGCAGCAGAGCAAGTGGTGCTGGGCAAAGCCAGGGAGGAAGGGTGAGGAGCACCGTGGGTTCCTTGAGGTCCTGACAAAGGCCATTTGTTTCCTGGGTTCTCAAGGCAGGCAGCTCCTTTGGGATGCAGGAGAGGGGCCCAGCCTAGCAGCAATAGGGAAGTGGGGACATAGGGAAACAGGGAGCCCAGCAGGGGCTGGAAGCAGGGGCTGGAAGTGTGTGCTGCAGGAGTCCTGGGGCAGCCCGAAGACCTGGCTGCAGGGTAAGCATAGGAGAGGGAGGACTCTGTGCAGAGGGAAAAGTTAAGGGCATTGACTCTAAAATTTGGCCATGAAATAGGCTTGGAGGAAGGCCAGAGTTGTGCTAAAGCAGGCTAAACCACTGCCTGTGATACCAGCATCCTATATCCTTCAGGGCCTTGTTTGGAGTCCTGGCTGCTCTCTCTGTCTCTGCTCCTCTAAATTTAAAATATGGAGAGGAAATAGGCTTGCAGATGCAGTTGATAGTCCAGGGGTCACTGGGGAAGCTGGTTCTTGTTAAGGAGTTGGTAGAATTCAGGCTGTTACCACAACATGTGCAATGTTCCTCACACTAATAGCATGGTGTGCCGTGTGTCAGGCATTGCGCTGAGTGCCTTGTCATTCATCATTGAGTCACTGCAATGGCATTAGGGAATGTTTTATGATTCCCTTTCTGCAGGAAGAACACAGAGATTTAGAGAAGGTATTTGGCAAAGTCACTACACCAGGAAGAGAGAGATGTAGGGTTGGCATTCACAGGTGTGTGACCAGGGTGCAGGGCCCCGGGTAGAGCTGATGAATCCCTGGTCTTCTCTGTGGTCAGACGCAGTAGTCAATTGGAGATAACAGCAATAATATTAAATAGTAATAGCTCAAATTTGTTGAGAATCATCAGCCCTTGGTGTGTATTTTCTTATTTAGTTCACACAATAGCAATTTCGTGAGTGAGTTACTTATTTCACTCCAGTTTTATAGATGAGAAAACAATAGAGAGTTTGGCTAGCCCAAGGCCACACAGATGCTCAGTGGTAGAACCAGAATTTGTTCCCATGATCACTGACTCCAAACGATGCCTTCTTAGCCAGCTGTCTGCAGTAGAGACTGAGTGAGAAAAAGGAAGGAGGAAAACATGAGAGAGCCGGCATTCTGGGTGGAGCTGTAACCAACCAATGAATGCATATATGGCCTAAAGATGTCGCAGGTGGAGCCTTCGGGACAGAGCCTTTGACAGGATCTGGGGCATGAGACTCACTGGCCAGCTGAGCTTGGACTTGACAACACCATGCCTTGGTTTCCTCTTTCGAAAATGGGAGATATTTCTTACTTCATGGTTTTATCTGCATTAAATAAGATAGTATTTGTTCAGCGCTAGCTTGTTTCTTGTCCCATAGTTACTGTTGCACAATTATTGTAGCTTGTGTTATTGTTTCTGCCATTCTACAAGACCTCTTCCTGCTGGTGGGAAAATGACCCCTGAACAGAGAGGCTGTTGTAGCATGGTAAGGCAGGGTAAGGGAAAGCCACATGGGTGTGTACATTTAGTGTGTACCTGTACTTGTGTGTGCATATGTGTGGTCAGCAGCCAGCCATGGAACAAATGGTTCGAAAAGGCCGTGCCTGCATTCAGGAGTCTCCTGTAAGGAAGATGTATGCAGACACTGGTGAAGTCCCAGCCAGCCCCCATCTAGCCACACCTTATCCAGGCTAGCAATTGCTCTCCCAGCTCCGAGGGAGCTACAACAAGTGCACGCTGGGGGCTGCAGGTGAATCCTCATTACCCAGATACTCTGTGCTCCCTGGGAGGACTTCCTTTGCCAGTCTCACTTCCCAGGAACTGGAGGCAAGAGGCTGCATTGCTTTCCTTGTGTGTATGAAGTGAGGTTTGTGATTATGCAAAACAAAGCTAGAAGAGGAAGTTATTTATAGCAGGTGGACTCAGCCAAATGTTAACTTTTAAACACATTTTTACAACAAGTTTTAAACCCCAGGTACCTAAAGATAAATTCCATCCATATGTCTCTGCCTAAATTATGCCTAACCAGAGAGATGTTTCCAGGGAGCCTATGTAGACTAGATTTCCATCACTGCAGGAGTGGCTTATCCTTGCAGAGAAGTAAAAACCAGGAAAGATGGGGACAGAGGAAGAGCTTGATTGTTCCTCGGAGATGCATTGATTCTTGCCGCGTAGCAGGTGTCAGTCTCTTCCTGGATCTGTGCAGAGGAAGGAAAAGCAGTTTCTCCCTTAAGGATGCGCAGATTATGGGGACAGCAGGCTAGAAAAGAGCAGGGGTATCGCTAGGCCAGATGGGCAGTGCTGGTGAATGTGGTGAACTCCTGGTACATGAAGGAGTAATTGCCCTATCCAGACAGTGCTGACAGCTGCCAGCCCCGCATTCTTAGATCCAGGGTTTATTTTCCCAGAAGCTGGAAACCTGAAATACAAATGTGAAATTGCCTGAATTCTAAATGTTGCTATTGTTCAATGCATTTTTAAAGATCCTGTAGGGACTAGACGAAATGCATCTACAGAAAATACTCAGCTCAGAGCTTCCAGGTTATAAACAAACAATTGGAATAGGAAGTGTGAAATGCTGAGATGGAAGAGGAGGTCTGTGTCCATCCTGGGAGTGGGATCCTGTCACACAGCCAAGTCCTGTCACAAGGCTACAGGACTGATACTGCACGGTCCAGCTGTGGGAGGTGCTGGTGCAATCTGGTGTTTAG